TTTGTACGTAAATTTCATTCAATTTCGTTTAAATAAAAATATCGAATGTAAAAAAAAAAAAACCCTCAAGTGAAGGCCAGACCCAAGTATTATTTACAGTTTTAACTAAGAATCAACTGTTTTGGTTCAGTTGTCTCGTTAAAATTCACTCAATCTTACTTAAAAAACCTAAAAATCGTACGTAAAAAACCCACCTCACTCAATCTTACTTAAAAACCTAAAAACCATACGTAAAAAACATCCCACTTACTTAAAACCTAAAAACCATACGCCAAAAAAATTAAAAAAACTCGACTCAGGTGAGAAACAGTAGAGTACATCCCACGTGTAATAACTTATCAAAGTAAATCCTTATTACTCAGTAGATCTAAACTAATCGTATAACCTGAGCTATTTATTAGTAACTAGATAATTAGGTTCGTTATTATGTTATTAAATAGCTTACTCTTATGGTGGGGGAGGGATAGGTATTGAGCTATCCAGTAAATACCTGCCAGTTGTTTTGATGGATGGTGGCTCTTCTATCCACTCAACACCTGCGTGGATAGTTGTTGTTGTTGTTGTTCTATTCACCAACACCTGCATGGATAGTTGTTGTTGTTGTTGTTGTTGTTTTATCCTCGATAATTCAGAGAAGTTGATTGGTTGTTGGTAAGATTAACGACCAATAGCTGACCTCTAACAGTGACGTCATGACTCACTGAATATAACAACCAATCAACTTCCAGGAATTGTTTTGGACAGACAGGCAGACAGAAAGACAGACAGACAAACAGACGACAGACAGACAGCTGTATCAGTAACGTCTTTATAACTATTTACCATAATCCACTCTCCTTAATTGTACAGTCGGTGTAATAACTGTAATATTAAGCGGATGTTGTGTGTAATGAAGCGGGTGTGTGTGTGTGTGTGTGTGTGTGTGTGTGTGTGTGTGTGTGTGTGTGTGTGTATAAGTGTACATGTGTGCGTGTTTGAATTACACCTGCAAGAACCTAGAACCAAGACAGTGTCGCCAACGTAAAGCATCACCCTGGGTCTTTCAGCTAGTGTTGCCAACGTCTCTTAAGTGTACTGGCTTGTAAGAATTAGTTTAGGGAGACCATACGGGCTACTCCTGTCTCCTAAGGTCTGGTTAGGAGAGAGAGAGAAGAGGAGAGAGAGAAAGAGAGAGAGAGAATAACGCCAGTCACCATCACCTTAGAAAAAGACTCTAAAGACCTACCTTAAAACTTACATCAAAGGGAGTGTGGGGGAGGGAGGGTGTTAAATTAATTAGTCTATGTGGTTAAATTACTTAAAATCTAATTAATTAGTGGTTAAAGGTAGCAGGTGTAATTTATTACTTTTAATTATATAATGAGGGAATATCTTTTAATGCCCAGTGTCCCGCTTAATGTGTGGTGATGCAAATATTACCGAGTGTATAGGTGTAGTGTGGGTGTGTAAATGTGTGTGTAGTGTGGTGTGTAGTGTGTAGGTGTAGTGTAGTGTGTAGGTGTAGTGTGTAGTGTGTAGGTGTAGTGTGTAGGTGTAGTGTGTGGTGTGGTGTGTGGTGTGTAGTGTGTAGGTGTAGTGTGTAGTGTGTAGGTGTAGTGTGTAGTGTTGGTGTAGTGTGTAGTGTGTAGGTGTAGTGTGTAGTGTGTAGTGTAGTGTGGTGTGGAGTGTGGTGTGTCGTGTGGGTGTGTAGTATAAAAGAGAGAGAGAGAGAGAGAGATCTTAATAATCACCCCCACGTCAATATAATATCTCTCTCTCTCTCTGACTAAATAAACTGATGAGATTTCCCTTTCAAATATCTTCTCCCGAATCCTGTCAAATATTAATTAAACTTGGTCAGATAAAACAGCTTCCTAAAGACCAACCTAACCTAACTAACCTAACCTAACCTAACCTAACCTAACCTAACCAAACCTAACCAATAAGCACACTATTTATCGACGCCTCAATTCTAAATCGGCTCGACGGAATTGGATTTTAGAACCAAATTAGGAAAATAAATGTTCAAATTGGTGGAATAGGTTCAAATTGGTGATATGGGTGGAAGTAATTGATAGGACTAAGGTGAGGTAATTGGTGAAATGGGTGAAAATAGGTCAAATGGATTGAAATCTTTGAATGGGTTGTAATAGGTATATCTAGGGATGGCGTCGTCTCGTGTGTGTGTGTGTGTAGAGGTAACACTCTTCCTCTCCTTTCCTCCTCCCCTCCTCCTCTTGTCCTCCTCCTCCTGTCCTCCTCTTCCTCCTCCCTCCTCCTCTTCCTCCTCCCTCCTCCTCTTCCTCATATCCACTCACTAAAATATGTCAACACTCCTTCCATTGATTACCATTAAGCAGTGATAATAACAATAACAATAACAATAATTTACCAGTATTACCATTACCATTATTCCTACCATCATTACTACCATTACCACTGCCATGATCACTACCATTAACACTATCATTAACTGCCACTAACTACCATTCATCAACGACCATTACTAACTAGGAATAATGACCACTAGCCACTAAAACCATTATTCAAACTTACAACATATTTGCCATCACCAATAACGACCATCTACCATCAGGGGTGGAGGCACTAACGACCACAACAACACAACGACCATCACAAAACACCAATAATAACACGACATTTTTTTCTTCCTTCAAATAAAGCTCAAAATACTACAGTCTTCCCAGAGATTTTCGTCTCTACTGATACATTGAAACTCTGTCTCAGGTTCGGGGGATAATAGTGTTAAGCCGCAGTTAAATCGTAATAAAAAAAAGTCGATATTACAAGTCGTTTGAAATAAGCATACCGCCCTTAGTGACGTTAATACACTCTGGGAAGCTATGATAATGCTATACCACTTGTCTTTTATGGTTGATGTCATGTTCATGTTAGGTTGGGATTATCGCCCATAATGACGTTCAGAACAGTCTATTAGGAGTATTATAGTGTCATAATACTGATGTTTTATGAGCGGTATTACATTCACTTAACTTAGGGATATCGACTCTATTGACAGATATTATTGAGACGGTTTTGTTGAAGGTTAATATATTAGACTCGTGACCTCAAAGGGTTAAGACAGATAGACAGACAGACAGAGAGAGAGAGAGAGAGAGAGAGAGAGAGAGAGAGAGAGAGAGAGAGAGAGAGACAGGAGAAAGAGAGAGAGAGAGAGAGAGAGAGAAGAGAGAGAGAGAGAGAGAGAGAGAGAGAGCTTTAGTTGATAGAGTCGATGTTACGTTAGTTTCAAGTAGGATTATCGTTCCTAATCATTCCTTTAAGAGGGAGGGAGGAGGAGGAGGAGGAGATGCCTCTTAGCATTTGGGGGACATAATAGTGCTATACCAATTACCTCTCACGTGATTATGGTCGTCATTTACATCTATTTAACGCGTGATGACTCTTTGTAATCCCAGGTGTTTGTCTGTTTCTGTCTGTCTGTCTGTTTCTGTCTGTCTGTCTGTCTGTATATATTCTCTCTTTCTTTTCCTCTCTCTCTCTCTCTCTCTCTCTCTCTCTCTCTCTCTCTCTCTCTCTCTCTCGGGCAACATAGTACACCACCACCACACAGTATACTAATGGTCGTTATCACACTCATTTAACCTGGAAATATAAGTTCTAATAACCCACCAGGGAGTCTGTCTTAGGTAATAGAGTGCCATACCACAAGCGGGTACAAATAAGGGTCAGTATTACCTAAATATACGACGTGATTACCAACCTTATTTGAAATCCGGACTTCCTTAGGGGGCATTTTAACACCATACTGCAAGAAAAGTAAGTAGAGTCGAATTTCCATCTAGTTAAACTAAGAATTTCACCCTTACTGATTTCAGAATTTTTACCGGGGGATTACAGTGTCACACCACTGGTAATAGTTTATAAAGTTGATTATATATTAGAAATAGTATTAAATTTACACCCATAATGGCTTTAGTTATATCACCAGCTGATGTCTCGAGTCACCTGAAGATTAGGCACCCTAGTTTATTTCACCTGATGATTAAACGCTGTGATGTTACCTGGGGAGAATAGGTTAGGTTAGGTTAGGTTAGGTGCAGGGTAGGTCAGGTCAAGGTGTTTAATCTCAAACCAAATAAGCTGGGGTACCTTCAGGTCAACCGATGTCCCTAAAGTCGATATTGATCCAATGTAATCCCAGGAATCTCGCCCTTATTAATAGACGCCTGTAGGTGGGGACAAGACAGCGCTACACCACCTGTTGTTTTGGGGTGTTGTAAATAAGGAACTTGTGGGCAAGACTTTCCCAGGGAGACTTTTGTAATGAAGTTGTGGATCACAGGATTACGTAGGACGGTCCACCGCCTTCCTGGTATTAGTTATGGCCAACATCTCCCCCCCCCTCTCTCTCTCTCTCTCTCATATTTTATTCACTTTTCCCTTTTCTCTATCTTGTATCTCTGTCTTTATGTCGTTTTCCTCTCCCAAATCTCATTCATCTTCATCTAGGCTCCACCCTTCATCTAGGCTCCACCCATCCTCTAGATTCCACCCATCCTCTAGGCTCCACCCATCCTCTAGACTCCACCCATCCTCTAGGCTCCACCCTTCATCTAAGGTTCATCCCTTCATCTAGGATTCACCCTTTTCCTTTAGCTTCCACCCTATTCCTCCAAGCTCCACCCTCTCCCTCCAGGCTCCACCCTCTCCCTCCAGGCTCCACCCTCTCCCTCCAGGCTCCGCCCTTTTCCCCCAGAGTTCACCTCGCTGCCTCTGCTTCAACAGTATTCCTTAGGTTCCCCTGATTTTCCGAGAAGTCCGTCGCCTATATTTAGGCTCCACCTTTTTCTGTAAGTTCTTTTTGTCTTGAACTCCACCCCTTTCCCCTGAACTCCGCCCTATTCTCTTAGACTCCGCCCTCTTGACCTAGACTCAACCCTCTTGCCCCAGGCTCCGCCTCGCGCCCCGGCAGCGTGTTGGTTGGGGTGGCGGGCGTAGAAGGGCCTCAGCCCGGCGGGTCAGCCGCCTCAGTGTCCCGTTACCCACCGCGGCGAGTGGAGGTCCGCCTCTGCCGCTGCAGTTCTTACATCACTGCCTCGGCTGCAGGTAGACTCACGGTGTTGCACGCTTTATAGGAAGTGTCCGTAGTGAATTATGTGTCCCAACACAGCCTCGGAAATAGTGCTTAACAAGGTGATCACGTGACAGTAACAGTGAGTGTAGTAATGTGTGAACTACCTAGTTTGTTGTGGTGACAAACCTCGTCAAGACCAACTACTCCTTAACACGCGAAAGAAGCATAAAAAGAATCTTTCTCAACTGTTTTAAACTCAACATCAAACTGTATATATCATCAAAACAAACGATAAATCCAAGCATAATTACATACAAGTGGTATATTTTGTATCTGAAAAAAAATCTAAATCTAAATTCTCAGCGCATATTTTGAGTGGCCGCAGTTATCGTACAGTGAAGGTCCCTGCCAGGCGTCTCTTGAGGTGAATGATGTAAATTATTGGTGTATTAGTGCGTCTTAAATCTTGTTGTATTGCAAATAAAGATATTGACGGAAAATACGATAGTTGTGTACCGTTGATCTAATATTAATAGTACTTTGGCAGTGGTGGTGGTATGTGTTGATAGTGGTGGTAGTTGGTAGTCGTAGTAGTGATGTTTTAGCACTAGTAGTGGTAGACTATATATTTACTACTACTACTACCACTACTACAAATAAACCCTACTACTACTACTACTACAAATAAACCCCTACTACTACTACTACTACTACAAATAAACCTCTACTACTACTACTTCCTAATGATAAATATTACTGTAATAAAACGATCATGAATTGCTTACAAATATGTTTACGTATTAGCATTAAGGTCTATTTATTTCCACTCAAAACAACCCTCCCTGGCCACCTCCACCCCAAAACAACCACCCTGGCCACCTCACCCAAAAACAACCCTCCCTGGCCACCTCACCCCAAAACAACCCTCCTGGCCACCTCCACCCCAAAACAACCGTCCCATACCTCCACCCTAAAACAACCCTCTAGCCTCACCCAAAACAACCCTCCTAGCCACCTCACCCAAAACAACCCTCTGCTACCTCCACCTAAACAACCCTCCTACCTCCACCCCAAACAACCTCACTACCTCACCCAAAACAACCCTCTAGCCTCCACCCTAAACAACCCTCCTGTACCTCCACCCCAAAACAACCCTCTGGCCACCTCCACTAAAACAACCCTCTGGCCACCTCCACCCCAAAACAACCCTCTGGCCACCTCCACCCAAAACAACCCTCCCTGGCCACCTCCACCCTAAAACAACCCTCCTGGCCACCTCCACCCAAAACAACCCTCTGTGCCTCCACCCCAAAACAACCCTCCTGGCCACCTCCACCCAAAACAACCCTCCTGGCCACCTCCACCCCTAAAACAACCCTCCTGGCCACCTCCACCCAAAACAACCTCCTTGGCCACCTCCACCCCAAACAACCCCTACAGGTCCCCGTGAAAAAAACCCCGACAGATCCCCACAATAAACCCGACAGGTTCCCAATCGAACAAAAAACCCTGACAGGTCCCCTCCTCCCCCAAAATCCCAGACAGGTCCCCATCCTCCTCCAAAATCGACGTCCCTCCACCTTCCCCAAAATCCCCAAGTCCCCTCCTCCTCCACAAAAAACGGTTAGTCCCTGCTCCCCCTCCACAAAAAAACCGACAGGTCCCCCCACAAAAAATTAAAATTCTAACTCGGACACAAATGAAAAAAAAAACGAAAAAAATGAAAAAAATTATCTTCTATCTCCTTAATGAGAAAAGAATTAATTGCCTTCAAAGAGAGAAATTGTTACCAAGAATACTAGGAAAGGATTATGGGATGTTTTGGAGGCGGTGTGTGTGTGTCTGTGTCTGTGTGTGTGTGTGTGTCTGTGTGTGTGTGTTTATTTGTGTGTCTGCATGCATTACTGTCTGTGTAACTGAGTATGCCTTTGTGTGTGTGTATATTATGTATGTATTTCTGTATATATGTGTATGAAAGTGTGTACGTATCAGCACGAGATCATGACAGGTGAGGCAGGTAAGAACAGGTAGAAGGTGTATTCAATAGGTGAGAGAGACTGTGAAGAAAGCGGTGAAAGGATGGATCAGGGGGTGGATCAAAGGCGTGTGGATTTACGACTGGGCATGGGAGGAGAGGTGTTGGAAGAGTGGATCATTTGTAGGGGTAAGTGGATCAAGGTGCAAAGTGAATCAGGGGAGAGTGAATCAGGGGGGTAGGAGTGGATCAGGGGGTGGGAGTGGATCAAAGGGGTAGAGAGTGGATCAAGGGGGGGTAAGAATGGATCAAGGGGGTAGAGTGGATCAAGGAGGGTAGGGCTGAGATCAAGGGGAGTGGGGAGTGGATCAAGGGGTAGAGGGAGGGAGAATGGATCAGGGGGGTAGGAATGGATCAAGGGGGTAGAGTGGATCAGAGAGTGGATCAGGGGGTAGAGTGCAGATTGAGAATTGCAAGTGGATCAAGGAGTAAGAGAGTCTTAGGGGGGTAGAGAATGAATCAAGGGGGTGGGAAATTAGGTGAAAGAATTAGAGATGAATCAGGGGGTAAGTGGATCACAGGTGGAGGAGAGGAGAGATGGTGAGAGGTGGAACAGGTCGAGAGGAGGAGGTAGGTGAGAGGTGGAACAGGCCGAGGAGGAGGTAAGTGGGGGGTGGAACAGGTGGAGGAGGAGGTAGGTGAGAGGTGGAACAGGTGGAGGAGGAGGTAGGTGAGGGGTGGAACAGGTCGAGGAGGAAGTTTATTGGAGGTGGTCCTTGAGTTCTGGAGGAGGAATTTCTGTATTATATTAGTATTGAAGGTTAAAGCCGGACAAGTTGTTAGTGGTGAGTGATGAAGGTGTTGGAGGCTGAGTGACGTGTGTTGGAGGCTGAGTGACGTGTGTTGGAGGTGTTGTAAGCGGGAGTGACGTTTGTTGGAGGTGATGGAGGCTGGGTGACGTGTGTTGGAGGCTGGGTGACGTGTGTTGGAGGCTGGGTGACGTGTGTTGGAAGTGTTGCAGGCTGGATGACGTGTGTTGGAGGTGACTTAATGTTACATAATTAATTTGAATCTTAAGGAGAATATTTTACTGTTAATGTATGTATGTATGCATGTATGTATGTATGCATGTATGTATGCATGTATGTATGTATGTATGTATTTATGTTTTCCTCCAAGGTTCAGTATTGTTGGTAGTTGTAATATATTTTCGTCTCTCTGGATGGTGCGATTGTAGTCTCGTTTATAAGGGCTGGGTTAAAGGTGCTTATAAGGGCTGGGTTATAGGTATTTATAAGGGCTGGGTTATAGGTGTTTATAAGGGCTGGGTTATAGGTGTTTATAAGGGCTGGGTTATAGGTGTTTATAAGGGCTGGGTTATAGGTGTTTATAAGGGCTGGGTTATAGGTGTTTATAAGGGCTGGGTTGTAATCTATTAAGGCTAGACCCCGCAATAAATTCAGGACGTATTCGACACAGGAGGAGGAGGAGGAGATGAAGAAGAAGATGAAGGAGGAGGAGGAGGGAGAGAAGTAAGAGAGGCAGAGGGGGAGAAGGATGAGAAGAGGAAAATAAGAAGAAAGAGGAGGAGGAGAATGGGAAAATACTAAGAAGGAGGGGGGAAAGGGGAGAAGGAGAGAATGAAGGGAGGGGATACGGAGGACAGATAAAGCAGGAGAGAAGCTGGACGTCTGACACTCTCTCTCTCTCTCTCTCTCTCTCTCTCTCTCTCTCTCTCTGTCAAACTTTACTCTAAACCCGTTGATGTGTTTTGGCCAGACGTGTAAAAAGACCCACACAAACTTAGCGAGTCAGATGTATGTGAGAGAGAGAGAGAGAGGTGAGAACTACACAGGCATTTAGAGAGAGAGAGAGAGAGAGGTGAGAACTACACAGGCATTTAGAGAGAGAGAGAGAGGTGAGAACTACACAGGCATTTAGAGAGAGAGAGAGAGAGAGGTGAGGACTACACAGGCATTTAGAGAGAGAGAGAGAGGTGAACTACACAGGCATTTAGAGAGAGAGAGAGAGGTGAGAACTACACAGGCATTTAGAGAGAGAGAGAGACAGAGTAATATATTTTGCTATGATTAATAGTAGTGTAGAATGATTTGTTGCACTAGGCAGTTATTAGCAGTAGAGGGGCAATAACTGACAACAGAGGGAAATAATTATCAGCATTGGGCAATAATTGATAGTTTGGCGCAATTATTGGTATCATTCCTTCCACAAGGCAATACTGGGCAAGCATATATAAAGAGTTGTTCAAGGTTTGTTTTGGTTAGATTCCGGGGCACTCCCAGTCGACCCAGCTGTGAATAGGGGAAGTGAAGGCGACCGAGTGTGGATACAGCACTCGCGTCCTGTCCTAAAGGTCGCTCGTTCGATTCCGGGGCACTCCCAGTCGGCCCAGCTGTGAATAGGGGAGGTGAAGCCGACCGAGTGTATGGGTTATTGTGAGACGTTGCTTGTGCCGCCACATCAGGGAATTTACTGACGTATATTTTTTTTCCTTTTCTTCTCAGCTTCAAGTTGAACGAATTGTGTGAGAGAGAGAGAGAGAGGAGTTTTATGCGCTTGTTTCACTCTTTCTCTCTCTCTCTCTCTCTCTCTCTCTCTCTCTCTCTCTCTCTCTCTCTCTCAAGATACATACAAATCCAATATTTTTTTTTCCTCATAACCTCAACTAACACACACACACACACACACACACACACACACACACACACAGTCATAGGATAAATCAGTCGCCATATTGCTTATCCATTATATACCAAGGCTTAAGTGGACCAGCCCAGGTGCATCCAAACATCGCTAATTAGAAGCAGAAAAAACAAAAAAATTTACCCTTACGATTTTTTTGGGTGTTTGTTTTGTATTGTAAGGGAAGCAATTAGTGTATCATCTCCCGTGAATTAGTTAAGGGTCCTCCTCACATCACTAGATAAGAGGGAAAATTAACCGAAGGAAATTTTAACAATCCCTCTTTGTTTTGTCAATTAAAGGCACCACCTGATAATGATGCACCTAAGCTAATTTCACCTGATAATTAGCCACCTGATTGCATACCTGTGGGTTAGGTTAGGTTAAATAAGTTAGGTTAGGGTAGATTAGGATGGTTAATCTTCAGGTATATCCTTGTTAATTAACCAGTTATATTCATTCTCACAGCACCAGTTATAGGGGAGAGAATTAACCATAGGAACCAAAAATCATAGATTGTGTTATCATTTAGGGAGGGAGGGGGGCGTTGTTATCAAGCCTGACCTCCCTCCCTCATTAGCATATACAATTTGCATCCTAATATATGAGGCTGATTAGGGCGTTTCTCCCTCTATCCTACCTCCTTACCTACCTCCCTATCACCTTTCCTCCTTCTCTCCCTTCCTTCTTCTCTATACCTCCCTCCTCTCTTTCCTTCTCCCTTCTCTCTCCCTTCCTTTCTTCCTGCCTATTATCTCACTCTCCCTTTCTACCTCCCTCCCACCCTCCCTCCCTCTCCCTGATACCTCCCTTACCCCCCTAATGAACAACGTTTTGAACAGCTAAATGAACACTTTAATTAAAACCTTTTCTGAACGCCTCATTGAATGACTCTTTGAACACATAGATGAACATTTGTTGAATTAAATAGTGAACAAGTTTTATTTTATCGTATACACATTAGTTCATATTTAAGCATAATAGTATTGTTTTGTACCTTAATGAACAATTTTTTGAACACCTTAACGAAGTAGATTTTGAACACCTAAATGAATATGATTTTGATTACATTATTGAACACTTTTAATAAACATATTCAAGTTGTTATTTGAATTTTTTGTGAATAATCTTTTGAACAGCATAATTAATTTTTGAACACTGATGAACACATTTGTGAGTAAGTTCATTTAAGCCTTTTGTTCTTTTCTGTGTACAAATTTTTGCTTCTCGTTTAATACGTATTTTTTTTAACATTCTAGGGATGTGGTGAACAAATGATGAACTACCAATTGAACAACTATGACTGAACAATAGGCTAAACATTACCTCTCAGTATGACAAACTGTGACCTCAATGAAGAAAGATTGTGAACATTGTGGTGTTGCTGAACATTTTGTGAGACATATTGAACAAATAGTGAAGTGTTATTTGAATATTTGTAATGCCTAATGAACACTTCCATCCAATCTAAATATGTGAACATCTTAGGATAATGGTGAACAAGTAATGAACATCTCATTGAACAAAATTACATTTGATTCAATGGTGAACAATTATATTGATGAATGAACAGTGTACGTGAACAAATATGACTGATAGTGAACAGTTTAGTCACTGTCTTGTACTATTGGTGAACATTTGATTGAACAGCTCGAACAAGTGTAGACAAAAACAGTAAAATAAGAAATACTTAAGAAAATTAATGCAATCCATATAACAAACATCTAAGTGTTCAATATTATCAAAAACAACAAAGAAACAAACAATATTCACCGGTGTCTATTGATGGAAACACAAACAATAAACAATTGTCTTTACTGAAATGAGAATGTAAACAATGCTATGACGTAATACATGATGTCATAATGTTTACACCGTCATGGCAGCCAATCAGAAGCAGCAGTCTACTTGTTGCCATATTGCCACCACTGACGAAATTAATTCTCGTGGAAAAATAATAACAACGGGAATAAAAGACTGTGTAGGATAAATAATAAGAACAAAAATGAACAAAGAGAATTAAGAACAACGGAAGTTATAACAAAGACGAGAAACGACATAGAAGAAAAGAAAGAAAAAAATAATATTGCGACCTTTGGCATCTATACCTAATGGCTGCTTCACGCTTCTCGTTTGTCATTTGTCTCGTCCTGGCCTGTCCTGGTAAGTAGTTTCTCCGCCTCTTATTATTACCTCTCACTCCCACGACACAAATATTAGTCTTCACTTCAAAATTTATTGTCTCCTGGAGGTGCTGTAAGACACTAAATAAATGAGTTCCTCCTTTAGAGACTCCCAGCTAATATTTTCGTTTTCTATGATGTGTATATATTTATTTTTTTAAAGAAGATGGGAACACAGGGAGCCAGGAATTTGCTTTTTTTTGTAATGTTAAGAATACAGTGATGTAATATTAGTTGAGAATTCAGTGCTGTGATGTATGTACTACTGATGTCGTATATTTGTTTTTAGAAGACTGTAGTTAACTGTTTCCATTATCCTTAGTTGTCGAATATATTGTCGTGTTGTGTATTGAGACTTGACAAAAACTATCTCTCTCTCTCTCTCTCTCTCTCTCTCTCTCTCTCTCTCTCTCTCTCTCGTTATCTTTGTATCTCTGTCTCTTTCTTATTCTCCTTCTATCTCCCTGTTTTTATTTATCTCTCTAGCTCTGTGATTCTTATATATCTGTTTCTCATTCTGTCACTTATTCACTGGGTCTCTTAGTCTCTGTCTGTCTCCGAACTGTATAAAGGTTTCAAGAACTTAACTCGTTCCTACAAGTGCAATAAGTCCGGGAGAAAATAGATGAAAGAACTGAGGTCATGTTGGTGGTATGGTTGATGGTGAAAGAAGACCTGAAGTCATGTTGGTTGAGAATGAAAGAAGAATTGAAGTGATGTTGGTTGAGAATGAACGGACTGTGGACATGTTGGTTGAGTATGAAAAACAAACTATAAACATTTTGGTTGTGAATGAAAATAGTAAAACAAACTTTGGTTGAGAATGAAGGAACTTAGACTATTTGGGTTGACAACAGATCAAATTAACACAAACAAAATATTTACCACCACAAGACATTGAACTGGACAACACTCAGCTGCACATGAAGGCGTATTATTATTATTGCTATTATTATTATTATTATTATTATTATTATTATCAGCATTATTCCGTTTTAGTGATAAATGTCTCCTTAATGTTTTGAGGAGGAGACAGAGAGATAATATAAGTGAGAGATATAAGGGAAAGTTCTCTCATCTCAATCAGGTTACAGAGGGATAAAGCTTAAATTCGCTGATAGACTCTTGGTTTTGTTTTATGTTTTATTGGGGTGAAATTGTCTTAACTATCAATGATGTCTTCTTGAACCAGCCTATGTCACCTGAAGATTAGACACCCCGGTACCAACATTAACACTGGCAGAATGATGTTAACAATACTACCATTAACAGGCATGGTGGGCGGGGGGGGCAGCAACAGACGATACTCGGTAAAACAATTAAGGACAAGCTGGAAAATGAACTGAATCACTGTAATACTTAACTAGTTCAGAATTTACAGCTAGGATAACAGAGCTAGGATAACAGCTAGGATAACAGAGCTACGATAACAGGTAGAGAGAAAATTACACACCTTTCTACCTGTGTATTCTACCTGTCTAATCTACGTGTACACTCTACCTGCCACACTCTACCTGTGCACTCTACCTGTACACTCTACCTGTCACACCCTACCTGCCACACCATTAAGTCATGTCTACTGTAGTGTGTAAGGCAGTAACAATAACTTAGGTAACTATGAAGTAAATAGTAAAGACCTATAATCAATGTAATACTCGTAATGATGATAAATAGTTCAGGGTCCTACACTTACTGGAGAGGAAAGGTAATATTGTTGATGATAATAGTTATGGTGAAGAGAGAAGTAATAATAATAAAAGTATAATGATGATAATAATAATAATAATAATAATGATAATAATAATAACTACTACTACTACTACTACTAATAATAATAATAATAATAAGAGGTTTACATATTGGGTCAACATAAGAAGCTGTAGACAGGTCATAGATGTGTGTCTTTGCCTAACCTAACCAACCCTAACCTAACCTAACCTAACCTAACCAACCCTAACCTAACCTAACCTAACCTAACCAACCCTAACCTAAGTATGTAAAACAAAAACAGGATGTGTATGTGTGTTTGTTTGTATTGTGTATGTGTGTTTATAAGTGTTTCTATTGTGTGTTTGTACCTATGTGTGTGTATTCGTATATATGTGTGTTTGGACTTGTGTGTATAAGAAAATGATCAATTGCTGGCATAGTAGAAATATACGGTACTTATAGTCCTGGAATTTAAGTGTGTGGTCATCTACTTAATATAAAGTAGAGCTCACCAACGGAGGTGACATCCTTAATCACTCATATCATTCCGTTATCGCCGGATGATCGTCATACTCGATCCCGAATGACTAGTACGTGAGTGTGCTTGTGCGTTGTGTCCCCATGGTGTAAACTAGACCATGCGTTTGTCCATGAGTGTTTAGGGTTGTACATGTTGTGTGTCCGGTTATGTATGTGTGTGTTTATACAGTATATACGTGTGGTGTAATGGTCAACATACTCGCCTCACAAGCAAATATGGGCAAGTTTCTTTACACCATTTGCCTCTGTTTACCCAGCAGTAATTGGGAACCTGGATGTTAATCGATTTGCGGATCATATTCCGGGGTAATGGTTGTGATATTGGCGACAGCTTCTACACCTTAAACACTGGGTCATGCAGCTCGTTAACTCAGGGTGTGGTTGTTGTGTTGGTGACGGCTTCTACACCTTAAACACTGGGTCATGCAGCTCGTTAACTTAGGGTGTGGTTGTTGTGTTGGCGACAGCTTCTACACCTTAAACACTGGGTCTCGTTAACTGCGAGCTGTCATGCAGCTCGTTAACTCAGGGTGTTGTGGGCACAGCTTCTACACCTTAAACACTGGGTCATGCAGCTCGTTAACTCAGGGTGTGGTTGTTGTGTTGGCGACAGCTTCTACACCTTAAACACTGGGTCATGCAGCTCGTTAACTCAGGGTGTGGTTGTTGTGTTGGCGACAGCTTCTACACCTTAAACACTGGGTCATGCAGCTCGTTAACTCAGGGTGTGGTTGTTGTGTTGGCGACAGCTTCTACACCTTAAACACTGGGTCATGCAGCTCGTTAACTCAGGGTGTGGTTGTGTGTTGGCGACAGCTTCTACACCTTAAACACTGGGTCATGCAGCTCGTTAACTCAGGGTGTGGTTGTTGTGTTGGTGACGGCTTCTACACCTTAAACACTGGGTCATGCAGCTCGTTAACTTAGGGTGTGGTTGTTGTGTTGGCGACAGCTTCTACACCTTAAACAAATTCACGACTAGGTGGCCCTAGGGCCGGCCATCCTCGTACACGAGGGACAACCATTATTTATTTATTTGCATGCACGTGTGAGTATTGTACGTGTGTGTAGGTACAGTTCTGGAAATGTGTTCCTACACCTCTTGTGGTAACCCGTGTCTCCTAACGGCCAGCCTATATCATACATACACAGTGTACATACATTCTCATTCTTCTTCTTATTATTATTATTATTATTTATTATTATTATTATTATTATTGTTATTATTATTATTATTATTATTATTATTATTATTATTATTATTATTATTATTATTATTATTATTATTATTTTATTATTATTATTATTATTATTATTAATATTATTATTATTGTTATTATTGTTATTATTATTATTATTATTATTATTATTTATTATTATTATTATTATTATTGTTATTGAGTGTAGTGTAGTGGTGTAGATATACTGTAGGTGTAGTGTGGAGAGAATGACCCCCTCCCCTCCCCTCCTCTACCCCCCCTCTCTCGCCCTCCCCTTAGGCCGACACCATGAATTATTATAGAGGTGGTCGCCCCTCATCCACTACCTCGTCAGCTGCCCCATAATTCTGTTTTGAAATACTTGAACTGTTACATTTCCCTTGTCCTGGGAGAGAGGAAAATGTTTTAGTCATAATTTCGGCTACTCGGGGGTTCGATGCCTTGGGTATTTTTCGTTGACCCTTGTAGATTGAATCATTATTTTGAGAAGTATTTTTTATAAGTGTTTTTTTTTATAAATTTCTTGGATGTTTAAAAAACTGGTTTTATTTTCTATTAATAATAATTTTTTTTTAATTCTCTGTTTGCTGCGAGGAATATTTATATATATTTTATTATTATTATTTTATGAATTGTATTTTGTTGTATAATTATTTTGAAGCGTTTATTGGATTATTATTTTATGATAATATGGGGAAAAATTTACATTCTCTGGGATACTTGGAATATTTGCTAGGAATTTTTTTTATATTATATTATTATTTTATGTTTACTATTTTTTATATTATTATTATTTTATGTTTACTATTTTTTTATATTATTATTATTATTTTATATTTACCATTTTATTATATAATTGTTTGTAAATGTGGTATTGAAAGGACTTATATTTCTGTCCTCATTGTAAGGTCAGAGTGTAATAATAACTGATCTCATTAATTACGGAAATATTACATTTTTCTGGTCATAAGGAAACTGTCACTCAGCTTTTTAATAATTTACTGATAAAACGTTTAGCTTAGTTCAGCTTAATATATTTAGAAAGTAAAACCTTAATAATTCGTGTGAATATTTTATCGTCATTTTAAGCTTATTGCTATCGTAGACTATACACACTTGTTATCGTAGACTATACACACTTCTTGTTATCGTAGACTATACACACTTGCTGTTATCGTAGACTATACACACTTGCTATCGTAGACTATACACACTTCTTGTTATCGTAGACTATACACACTTCTTGTTATCGTAGACTATACACACTTGCTATCGTAGACTATACACACTTGTTATCGTAGACTATACACACTTGCTATCGTAGACTATACACACTTGTTATCGTAGACTATACACACTTGTTATCGTAGACTATACACACTTGTTATCGTAGACTATACACACTTCTTGTTATCGTAGACTATACACACTTCTTGGAATATGTATTAATATGTATCTGTGTATATTAATGTATATATTTCATGCACTGTCTATATACGCTTAAAGGTAA